GCTCAACCCGACCATTTTGCTGTGGTGTATTGACACAAGAAGTTTGAACAAGCACTCCCTTACTCGTGTAGAATTCACGAAGAGGCCGGTTGAGGAACTCAGTGCCGTTGTCAGAACGAACAACTTTTATGATTTTATGAAACTGAGTGTGAATAAGAGAGAAAAATTGTTTCAAGCAACTAGTAACTTCACTTTTCTCAATAAGCAGAAAAACCCAAACAGCTCTAGAAAAATCATCCACAATAGTGAGGAAATAATGTGACCCAGTAGAAATACATGGAGAATATGGTCCCCATAAATCACAATGAATCAAATCAAACAATTGCTCAGCTTTATTAATACTGGGAGTAAAAGGAGAACGAGTCTGTTTGGAAAAAAACAAATATCGCAGGACTGAAAATTTTTAATTTCAGTAGTGCTCTTATTAAACGGAGGGAAAGATAAAACTTGAGGAGATGGATGACCAAGACGCTGATGCAACAGGGAGACGGATTCGGCTTTGAATGCCTGGGCATGGGATGGAAGGACATAAACTCCGTTGCGTGCTTCAGATTGACCAATCCGCGTCTTCGTAGTGCGGTCTTGTATCACACAAAATTGATCATCAAAGAAAACATGACAGTTATGTGAGTTTACAAGGCAACTCACAGAGATCAAATTGCACTTCAAATTAGGAACATATAAAACATCGTGCAAGACAAGAGAAGAAGACACTTGCACATGACCACACGAGGTGGACACAACATGAGTTCCATCCGGCAAGCTAATAATGCATGGAGACCGTGGTGCAACATCAGTCAAACATGATAATAAGCCGGTCATATGATGAGAAGCTCCACTATCCACCAACCATTCGCAAGGTACAGAGACAGACTTACCTTGGAGTTTATCAGAAGACGAAGGGGTGGAATCAAACATGGAAAAGAGGCATGCAATTCCAATTTGATCCGAAGACATGGCAAGTGATAACAGTATTCCAAGAGAGATAACAGCACCAGTGGAATGGAAAAATCTTCAAAAACTGCCACCAAGTGGACGAAGTAACCACGGCCAAGCAAAGAACGGAACTTTTCTTGTAAAGTAAAAGTCCAAGCACAAGTGGGTGGATCGTGCAGCAAAGTGTAACAAAAAATAATTTCCAAGCACAAGTGGATTGTGCTTTTTCCTTTGCTGGAGAAGAAGCCACGATCAAAAACAAGCAAAACGGAGAAACGGCGCAGACGTGGGTATGCCGATCGTACGCCGGAGAGCACGCGTGAAAGCCTAGGGTTTTGGCTCTGATACCATGTAGAATTTTAGATCTGCCTTTTCATTAATCACAAACCGATATATATACAAGTACATAAATGGGCTAACAAGCACAGGCCCAATAACACAATATCTACGGTTAATTACAAATATCCGCTAACAACTTCCCATTCCCAAAAATCAACTTTGACCGGTTGAATATTTGAGCGCCTCCTTTGACCGATTCTGGGTGGAATACACCCATCAAGTAAAAATAATACATGGATATCTTAATAAAACTGAAACTCAAACTATTACTCCGTAAAACATACCGCAACTTCTTTAATATCAAAAATAATAAAACTAAAAGACAAATTAGACGTTTCAGAATCTAACGCAAAAATGACTTGTTGAGCACTCCAAAAAAATCTCCTTAGACAAATCATTTATACAATTTAGTATATCAGTACAAAATAAATGAAGTATATGGCAACGACTTTATTTGAATATATTAGTCATTTTTTTGTTAAAGTGGAGGTGTTTTGTTGCTAATGAAAAAAAATGAAAGAAGAATTGTTTGGAAAATAGATGGAGTATTAATTATTACTATTACTATTATTATTGTTATTATTATTATTCTCATCTGAATTGAAAATATTGATGTAATTTCACAATTTATTAAAAAATTCCTTTTATCCTCAAAGTAAATTTTAGCTATCTCTATAGAGTCAACGTAAGTAAAATATTAAATTAATTAATCTACTAATTTTCTTTGTGATTTAAATATTCTTAACTATGTTTTTTTGAAATGTGTTCTGGTAGAGATTAGGGGTTGGCGCGCTCCGTGACAGTCCATGATACTATCGAAACCTATCACAGGCCGCTCTTATTTAAACGGTTCGGTATGATGGTATATGTACGGATGAACTCCAAAACCATTCGGTACCATTCCATTTTGAAACGGAACGGTACAATACCATACCCATGCTCAAACTGTGCCAAAAATGAACGTACTCATCATTTTATGTAGAGATATCAATGTACGTATTTTGAAATATAGTTTTGGAATACGATATTTTCATTATATGTATTTGTATATAAGTAGAGATATTAGTGATCAATATATTGCATTCTAAACCGTGAAAAATTAAGTAAAAAATGATATGGAAAAGATCAAATATTTATTTGGAAGAAAAAGTAAAAGAAAGAATTCATATTTTCATTAATTAATAAAATATAATTATATTTTTTACGGAGAAAACAAACAAGAATGAATAAGTATTGTTTTAGGGCAAAAGGAGTACAAGCTTAGGAACTAATTATTAAAAATAAATTGTTCAAAAATGGTTTTTATCATGTATAGTAGGGGTTTTGTTTTTATTTTTTTATTTTTAAATAAAAATAATTATTTTTCTTTCCAAAGTCATTTTTGTAAGACACAAGACACAACACAACTTGCATACTTAGGAAAAAAATATATTTCATATCAAATGAGTAATTTTTAATACAAAAATTAACATTGCTAGCATTGGGCTATTTTTGTGATTATTTTGATTTATGAAATGTGATGAGAATTTATTTTTGTTTGGCCGAAATATCGTTAGATTATTTGTTTTTATTTTTTTCTTCCAAAACATATTAGTAAAAGTATTGTTTCATTTATCTTCCTATTTTTGTTACATGTATTAGTAACAAGCTAATTAAGAAATAAAAAATAGTATGATAGCCGTTGATATTAAATAGTAAAAAAAGTAAAATTGAGTGTGAGTTACACAAATATTACTAATATATATGGTTTGTTACAAAAATATGATGACATAGAAGAAAATAAAAAATGTTAAAAATTGAAATCTATTGTTTTAGGTTGAAAAATTAACTCCCAACTCCTTCTAATTTCTTCCAAATTTTTCTAACTCTTTCAGTTTCTTCCAACTTCTTTTAATTTTTTCCAACAACGACTTAAAAATAGTACTATAAGATGATTATACAATAACATCATATGTCCAAATTTACAACTTGTCACCTCAAACACAAACAAGGATGCATTTCTTTTTTTCTAAAATGAGAGTTTTCTTACATGTTTATTTGAGTGATCATTTAATTGAGTGACTTTTTAGCTTTTTAATTCTTCCAATATTTTTCAGTTACTTGCAGTTTTTTCCAACTCTTTCCAGCTTATTCTAATATCTAACTCTGAAATGTTAGCTCAAAAAAACAGTGCCTAAGTAAAATATACTCCATAATAATTTTTCCAACACGTTTCAATTTATGCAACTCTTTCCAGTTTCTTCAATTCCAACTTTCTCTAATTTTTTTCCAACTTTTTCTAGTTTTTCCCATTAATTCCACTTTTTGTAGTTCCTTTGCGTTTCCCCAACATCCAGTTCTGTTTTTACAACTCAAAAGAACAAAGCCATAAAATACTCCCATTTTGATTGAATCCACAAGGTCAAACTTTATTCACAAGGTCAAACTTTATCCACAAGGTAAAAAGAGTGGATTTTTCACAATGTCAAACTTTATTCATTTTCTTTCTCATTTTTTTAGCAATTTGATAAAATAAAGTATTATTGTCACTACTAGTTTTGTAGATCTTTTGATGTACTACATCCGTTTCTTAAAACCCTTTCTCTTTCATTTTTTTGTTTTTCTTAAAACACTTCCCTTTTCTATTAAAAAACCACTTTTACCCCTACTTTTTCATACCCTACCTATCACATCATATTTTTTCACTAACAACTAAACTATCACATCTTACTTTTACCCATCACATCAAGGGCAAAATTGGAAAGTCAACTACAATTTAACACTTCCTTATTTTTCTCCAAAGTCAAAAGAGGAACCGTTTTGAGAAACGGAGGGAGTAGTATTTTAATATGTAATTTTTATTTTTTAACTATATACCATTTGTCATATAAAATGATTTGAAAATAATTTTAGTCAAACATCGTAAACCAAAAGAGACGTTATAAAATGGGACAGAGGCAGTACTATCTATTTGGCAAGTGTTGGTGGTTAGAGTTAACGCTTAGAAAAAATTAATAATGACGACGTTTAGCTTTAACGCTTTTAAAGTTAATGTATACTCCCTCCGTTCTTAAAAACATTTCTTCTTTTATTTTTTTACTTCCAACAAAATACTTCAAATTTCTATTAAAAAACCACTTTTATCCTTATTTTTTTATACCTTACCTATCACATCATGTTTTTTCTCTAATAATCTTATTAATCTATCGATTATATCTTACTTTTACCCATCACATTAAGGAAAAAATTGGAAGTCAATTACAATTTAACACTTTCTTATTTTTACACTTGGTCAATATAGGAACAATTTTTTAGAATGGAAGGAGTACCATTAAAATTTTATCCAAAATATTAATACTGAGCGAAAACATTATTTCCAAACAAAGCTATTAAGTGGATGATTTTAGCCTTAAAAATTGAATTACATGTAAGAGTTTTCTTTAATATTTTTAAGGATAAAATTTTCTACTTGCCATAAAAGGGGTAAATTTAGCTAAAATTAGAGTGAATATATAGCATCACTCCTACAAGGTGGAGGGCCATGGAAAAGGCACTTGGGATGAAAAAAGGGATGCCTACCTTTCACATATCTTAGAGGATGTGAAATTCAAATATGTATCATAAGATGGAAACATTGTGAAAGGATCATTCTGAACACTAACACTCCATTTGGTACCCAAAATTCGAACTTTGAGATTGAAATTGGAGACTTCAAATCCAATTTCGGTACTCCCTCCGTCCCTAAATATTTGCCACACTTGTATTCCCGAGACAAAATATCGAGTTTTTTCAATTCATTTTATTTACATATTGGTATAGAAATAAAAAATAAAATTTACATATCAAAAAACTACATGAAAACTTCTTCAAAATAAGAGGTGTCAAGAATATTTTATTTTATCAAATAACCAATGAAAACGTAGAAATAAACAAAAGTTCCCGTGACTGCTGAAAAAGCAAACGTTGCAAATAATTTGGGACGGAGGGAGTATTTGGTAGCACAAAAATATGTGAATGATCCTTTCACAATTTTTTTTCATTTATCCCGACAATATATTTTCCTATTTGAGACATTAATAAATGGATAAATCTATTTGTACCCCAAGAATTGGTACACCATTTTGTACACCGCAATGATGCACCAATATTTTGTGTTAGTGTAATGATAATTTTTGTTAACACATCAATACTTTGTGTCAGTGTAAATTTTTGTTAACGCACCAATACTTTTGGTGTACAAATGAGATACAAATTTTGGGATACGTGTAGCATGCTCCTTAATAAATATCTTCCCTTTTTGAGGTAAATTAAACTTTAATTGCAGATTGGTGGCTAAGAGTGGAGCCTGCACCTAGTTCTTGCAGAGGCGGTATACTTTTTCTCATATCAAAATACAGTCACTAGAGAGCTTTTAGAGACGGAAAATCTAAACAAAAAAGAGAGATTACTCTGACAATTTTATTATTGTTTCTTGTGCCCGGATGGACCACCCAAACACTACACAGCCAAACAGAAAAGAAGGGACTTAAAAGCCAAGGGCAAAACGTGGAAGAAAAAAGAAGTGGAAATCACATTTATCCCTGACTTGGCACCACTGAAAAAACCCCAAGTGCCAAACACCACCACCTCTTCACCAATCCTGCTCTTTTTGTATTCACAGTTCCTCCATGGGAGGGATTTGGCTCCTCAGGCCACCACCGGAATCAATGTAATCAGGCATTGCTCCTAAAGGAGCCCAGAGCTTTGGCTGCCCCTGCCCTCAATATATATTGGTAGTAGAATGCAGCAATGGCTGCTCCGATGAACGGCCCTACCCAGAAAATCCACTGGTCATCCCACGCCTTCTGCTTCCCGTACATCACTGCCGCCCCAAGACTCCTCGCCGGGTTGATCCCCGTCCCCGTGATCGGAATCGTGGCCAAATGAACCATGAACACCGCAAACCCAATCGGAAGCGGTGCCAAAACCTGCACATCAAGACACCAATACATAAAAACATACATTTCATGATCTTGAATTTTTCTTAAAAAGCTATTGGAAAAGTACTTACAGGGACATGGGAGTCTCTGGCGTTTCTCTTGGGGTCAGTGGCAGAGAAAACAGTGTAAACAAGAACAAAAGTGCCAATAATCTCAGCGCCCAAACCGGTGCCCTTGCTGTACCCATCTTGCAGCCCATTGGCGCCGCCGCCATACCTCACATAGTGCGCCTTCTGGAACGCCTTCACAAGCCCGCACCCGCAGATCGCCCCCAGACACTGAGCCGCCATGTACATGACGGCGCGCACCAGCGACACCTTCCTCGCCAAGAACAGGCCGAACGTCACCGCCGGGTTTATGTGGCCGCCGGAAATACCGGCGGTGCAGTAGACGAGGACGAAGATCATGCCGCCGAAGGCCCAGGCGATGCCGAGAATGCCCACGCCGCCGCAGGGGTCGTCGGCGCCGTGGAGGGCGGGGTCGGTCTGGGTTTTGTACCCGATCACGGTCAGGACTGTGACGTACAGGAAGAGGAGAGTGGCGATGAACTCGGCTATGACGGCCCTGTAGAAGGACCACTTCCCTAGCTCTTCTGGGTCAATCAGGGGAGCTGGGGGAGGGTCATGGTAGTCCTTTGCTGCTGCGTATTCTGTGCCAACCCCCATGTCCTTCACCATTTCAGCTTCTATTTGAGCTTTCAAGAATTTGGGTTTCTTCTTCTTTTTTTTAATGGGCGATCAGATATGTTCAGAGGAGGAAATTTCAGAGGAAGGGGGAATATTTGTGGAGGTTTTGGGTGTGGTGGAGCTGAATGAATAGGGTATTTATGGGGAGAAGCCTAGAGTTCGGTAGGGAGCATTAATGCCATTACTCCCTTTATTTATTTATTTTTTTGAAGATATTGCCATTGCTCCCTAATTGATTTTTTAGAGCATCTTTACTCTAGGGTGGTCAAGTGATGCATTTGTGCAATTGATAAAGACAATAATCATGACTTTCGAATTTTAAAACCGACACGTGTAAGATCTTGTCGCCTTTAAGCACTCCTCAACCTTCATTGACATTCAGATCGAGCACTGGGGGACTCCTACACACGGCCAAGAATTTTTCAAATTCAAAATTCAAAAACTTCCTAAAATATTGGATTATTTCCCCCGACCTCGACACGCTTGGCCGGAGAAGTAGGGGACTCATGATGGATACCCTGTAATGGGGGTATCTAGCCCAACGGAAATAGCGGCCCAACCCAGCCAAACTTAGGCCCACCTAGCTGGGCGAAGATGAGAAGAAACTGAAATCTCAAGAGGGCTGCTACTGCATCAGGATACACTCGGCCCCGGCAGACACGCTCGGCCTTCGGACAATCCTCTCGGCTTCCCGTCAGGGGACTTCAGGAAGCAAAACACATGTACTCGGCCTCGGCCTAAGATGCCACTGGACCAGGACCATAGGCATGGGAGCTGCCTAATCAGTCAAGTCAAGGGGCCTATGATTGGACCCCTGCCACACTTCCGTCAGAATAGTTTTAGCCACCCTATTTGTAACCTACTTTGTATAGCTGCCCTAGGAATAATGATGTGATTAGGCGCCGCCGGTAAACAACCAAATCTTAGTGGGCTCGATTCGTTGGGCTCTGGACTAACGGTCGGGAACCACATCTGTAATTTGTATTTAAATCCTTTCTTGTGAGAAAGGAGGGGACAGTTTTTCTGGCACACTAATACTTACAATCTTACTTGATTCTCAACTTGTGCACTCTCGACTCAGCTCGATACTCTTCCGCCTAGTCTACTAGGCCTCGGGTTCCTTAACCCAACAGCTCCATTCGTAAAAAAGACGATTTATACCCCCCTAACCCCCGGTAAACCCCCCATTCAATTACACCACTCAAGTTAATTTTAATTTTAGAGTCAAATTTTGCAGCACGGCCGCACCGCTCTCCTCCATTGTAAATACCTAATGCCTGATTGCATTTACAACTATAGGGGTAGATCAAATTTCATAATTTTCCAATCTGTCACATCCACTGAGTGGAGCAACACTCTGGCATGCTCTTAATTTGCACGACTATTTTACACCACGTTTTTGGACAGTCATATTTCATTTAAAAGATGACACCCCCATATACTTAGCTCAAATATGTAAATTGAGCTATAATATGATTAAGTTGGTATAAAGGTGAGGTTTCAGGTCTAGCACTGAAAGAAGCCCCATAGAGAATATTTTGTATGATTAATTCTCATCACACCTATCAGGCTTCGAACTTTAAATCTCTCTTTTATAACACTTTTATGTCAATCATTGAGCTACTTGTATCATTTTTCATTTACACAAATGGACAACATCCTACATCCGTTCAGATCCTACTGTACTCCCCTCCTCCTGTCAAAATGCACATTTTTGGGAATAGAGTACTTTCTATTTTTTCAATTGCATTTACACATCTTTTATTTCTTTTGTCCCAATTTTATTATTACTCGGTATAGTATAAATCAAGAGTTACATTATAAAACATTACACTTTTTGAAATTTTTTTATTTACAAATATGTACATTAACAAAAGGTGAAAAATACATATTAAAAAATTACGTCAAAAGTTTTAAAAAATAAAAGATGAAAAGAATATTTTATTTTATCAAATAATCATTGGAAACATATATCTAAACAAAAGTTATCAAGAAATCGGAGTAAAAAAACCAATTTCAAGACAGAGCTAGGGAGTACTTTTTTAAAATAATTTTACATTTTCTCCCTATCTTTTTCAATTATTTCTAAACTTTTTCTTAGGCCAAATAGCATTGATCTGCACCTCTTGTGGTTTAGAAAATAAGCACAAATACCTCTCTATTTTCGAAATTTGTTCTTAAAGTCCCCATAATTCAAAGCAATACTTTCATACCCCTTCTAATAATTTTCCAACGAAGAAGGGGCATTGGTGTTTATTTTTCAAACTATAAGGAGAATTGATGCCCATTTCTCATTTTTGTTTATTTTTTGTTTTTCTTCCTTTTTTCTTTTATTGTTTATTTTATTGATCAAGTTTTCTAAATTTATTTTTAAATTTTTTTATAATGTTCTTAGTTTTTGTTAACTTACGAGTATATCACATCTGTGCGTTTCAAATTAACAATTTATTTCTATTTTTTGTTTTCCAAAATATAAAAAAATTGACACATTCAAAAAATGAAGAATAAAATAAGAAATAAAATAAAACAAAAAATAAAAATGAATATCTTTTTGGACATCCCAATTTTAAAGACTTTTTAGGTGTTCTCAAAATTTCTTTTTGTATAAGACTTTTTTTGCATATTCTAGAAAACAAAATATAAAAATGTTTAATTTGAGATAGATCGAGTATATATTATTTATTTTATTTTTAGTTTTATTTCAAACAAAAAGAATTTTTGTTTTTAAAACATTATAAAAATTGAAAAGAAATTTTAAAACCTTTTATAAGAAAAGGAAACAAATAGATAAAAAAGAGTAAAGAAAAAGAAAAAACCAAATAATAAACAAAAAATAAGAAATGAACACGACTGCCCCCATAGTTTAGAAAATAGGCACCAATGTCCCCTACGTTTTGAAACCACGATAACTTTAGAAATAAGCTTTAAAAATAGAGAGTGTATTAGTACCAATTTTCCAAAGTATAGGGGGCAGTGGAACTATTTGGCGCTTTTCTTAATCTCCACAAAGTCAACTCGTGTCTCCCCTGGCTTGAGTGGCAGAAAGCTCACTCTCCAAGATTCATGAGGATGTTTACCCAGTTTCGAGCCCTAGCAAAGGTGAAAGTATCTTGTGTCTCTTAGCAGCAGACGGTCAGATGAGGGAGGAATTTGTAAAAGAAAAGTACTCCCTAATTTAAATTTAAAACTTAAATTTAATCTATATAGAAAGATAGATTTTCCTTGGTATGTGCAAATTAAATATTTTTATTTATTGTGGATAGTTCCCATGACATTGTGAGCCAATATCATGGGATGACGCAGAGGCACTTCGGTGTCATGTTCGTAAAATTGACTGTTCTTACCCCTAACCCCCCAATAAGTCCCCTACCACGTCTCGACCCGAACACACTACTCACCCCTTTCAATTGCACCCCACAATTTAATTTTTACTTTGGAGTCAAAATTGAAGGGGGTGGGGGTGTGTTCTGTTGGTTCCTTGGGTGTGTCTTAGCCTCTTTGTCATAGGTGTTGGCTTTATTTTTGACAAAAACCATACGTAGTTGTTTCTTAGTACTCAGTTTGTTCTAGCTATGTGTTTTATAGAGCTGTAGCATCCTGTCCGTCACACAAACAGTTTCTGAACTTCTGGATTCTTTTAACAAAAGGCAGACTGCGGCTCACCAAACTGAAGAAGAACTCTATCAACTAAAGGCGACTGCATTTCACAAAACTGAAGAAGATATGTGTGGTATCAGAAGGAAATCATAACAAGGACTCTACCCGATAAACACAAAACTGGAGGTAGAGGTATATCAGGATTCTTCTAGGGTTGATCTCACCTTGCGAATATAAATAGAAGGGAGAGCTGCCTGGATTGGGTGAAAAAATCAGAGAGCAAGAGAGAGAATATATTGTGAGAAAATCCTGAATAATTAATTAGCCAAACAGATCGGAGAACACAGATGGCTGGCATGCAGAATGATATTCTGCTTGGAGATTGACGTGCGTTTCAGACAGTTGAACTGAGAAGAGCTGGAGCGTAGGCCAGGAACACGTCTCAGATAAGTTGTTCAAGTGTTTCAGTCTCGGTATCTCTGCATAAACCGAGTTTGTTGCATCCCATTAAGTTGTTGAGTTTAGATCAATGGATAGATCGAGTCTATTGTCATTGAGGGTGTAAACTCTGAACTGATTTAGTGGGAAGGCTGTTACACTGACGTGGGCCTCGCAGACGTAGGAGAAATTGCTCCGAACTGCGTAAACAATTTTGTGTGTTGTGTGCTGATTGTTTTGTTTCAGTCTATCTATTCAGCAGTTGGTGAAACACTTTGTTTTACAACTTCATATTAGAAAGTGCTTCAGCAACCTCTGCGGCAACTTGTTCTGTTTTAGATTGCTACAGGTCGTACTCTGTGGAAAGTGAAACTTTCATGTTCGGGTCGGAACGGGGTGGGGGGGGGGGGTTTACCAGGAAGTTAAGGGGTAGGAACCGTCAATTTCACGAACGAGACACTGTAGCGCCCATGGGTACAACTTTACGAGCGGGATACTAGAGTACCAATTTCAGGATAGTTTTTATTGATTACCTTATTTATTTAATTAATTTTCTATGGCTTTATTTATTTTTCTTATTTTTTCATTATTTTTTATATCTATTTTTTTAATTGTTTTTAAGCTAAGCTTAATATTTTAAAAAAGAAAAAGAAATGATAGAGCTAGAAAGTCATTTTAAAAATTAAAAGAAAAATTTCAAAAAAAAATATAAAACAAAAAATTATCAAGAATAAACTCGGTTTTCATTTTGTTGCGCAAAATATGTCATTTATGTTAAGTGAAATTTGCACTAAATAGGACTAAAACATAATGACTTTCCTAATCTAGGACTTAAACTTTTTTATTCCCTAAATAGGACTTAATAATGTCTTCGTGGAAGGAATAATGCCCAGCAATGATAAACATTACTTGAATAATGACTAAAGAATAATGACCAAAGGTCCTACATTCGGAAATAAAAACATATGGTCCTATTTTGAGAAAGTCATTATGTTTTAATCCTATTTAAGTAAATTACTCTTATGTTAACCCGCCGTTAGCAGCCTAATGACAACTCAAAACTTACAAATTTCAATAAAATCGAGATTATTATGCATTACAATGAAAGATGATATTATCTATGAAAACTTCGAATAAAGTTGGGATCGTTTTTAAACCAAACATAGGATTCATGCTACACATAAGAGTCTTTCAATGTTAACTCTAAGTTTTGTTTAGTGACAACGTTTTAGATAAAATTTTAATAATATACGGAATAGATTATTAATTTTGAAAATGTTATAATTAAACTTTGCCGAAATACATTTTTTTTAAAATGTTAATACTAAATGCTAAATTGTTTCCAAACACATCCTTTAGCATTACTTTCTCTGTTCTAAAACATATATCTAGGATTGACTCTTTTAAAACTCAAGAAAAATAACATTGTTTCATAGAAAAAAATTGAAGAGAAAAATCTTGGAAACCGCTACATTATTATTTTTCTTTAAATAGAATAAGACATTTGGATTTTGGAGTACTCCTTGATGCATATTTTGGAAGATTCAAATAACGAAAGCATTTCTTTTGCATCATTCCTATGGAAGGTTTAATTAGACGGTCATTTTCCGTTCTTACGTAAGCCCAAATACCGCATTGCCCGGAGTATTATGACTATTATTCTCTATCCTTCCAAAAATGTCTCTCAAGGCAGGAGTGTGAAGAGTAGACTCGAGTTCGATTCCTGACAATTACGTTGGGAGATAATTGCTAAATACGGAGTATAAAGTTTTTGTAAGTTTTAGGTGCATGCTCCACTTTTTATCACTAATCTGTAATTAAAGTTCAATTTACCTCTTCTCACTGATTGTCTCATCGGGTCTGAAGGAATCCTCGAGGATGAAACTTATCTTTTTTTCCAATAATGTCTCTCACATTACCTTAAATAATGAAAAACTTTATACCTTGGTCTTGAAAACTCTTTCTGTTTGACCTTTTTTGTCAAACTCTGACACTCTTTAACGATAAATTATTATAAAAGTATATTGAATTATAATATAAATTTTGGAGTAATATAATTTGATTCATCTTAGAATATAGTTTTGATATATCAAACTTTTATAACATTTATTTATTTAAGTTATGTTTAATTTATACTCAAAGAGTGTCACTTTTTATTCAAATGGTCAAGATTTTTAAAACTCGGTGAGGTATATTTTAAATTAATTTTATTTAAAATTGGTATAGAAATAAAAAATAAATATAACTTAAAATTTTAAAATTAAGTCAAAAATTTTTCAAAATAAATGATAATAAAAATATTTTATTTTATTAAATAATTGATGACACATACAAATAAATAAAAATTTCTCTAATTTTTGAATATTGAAATGTAACATTTCTTTGTTACAAAAGAAATTAAATTGATAATGTCTAATTCCCATGGCGGGGTCGGGATGTGGAAGACAGAAATGCGGACCATACGGGGGAGCCCGCCACTTGACGCATGCGTCCAAAAGAGGGAAGGGTGTGACACGTCACGTGAACCGACCATCATATCGTGGTTTATGAACCACGAAGCCACATTATACATTCCATTAATTTGACTACAACTATGACTACGGAGTTGACTATTTGCCCATCCTCACCGCCCATTTTGCCCGTTTGGCCCCACGCCCCCCCCCCCCACATGCTTAATGCCCTAACAGCGCCTAGGGTTGGAACTTGTTGAACTGGAAAAAATTAAAAAAAAAAATTATTAAAAAAACTGAAAGAAATTAAAAATTAAGAGTTTATGGCGAAAAGAACAAACTCAAACCATAGCTAAGGAGCATAAACAATGCACGAAGCTAATGAAGCAACCGTAAAAATAAAACAAGACAAGAAGCTTTTAAGTTTTAATACGTTAAGTGCAAGATTTTAACTATTTCTAATAATAATAATTTATTATAACTTTTCAAATATATTACTCCGTATAATTTAAATGAATATGAACAAATACTATGTCTATGTCTCCACGTATTTTATTCTTTTAAGGACAAGATACTAACTAATTTTGATGAGCATTTTCTAGTCGAAACGCAGACAAAAAGTTGTTTGAATAGCAAAATACATCCCCCATGTTTATCATATTTTAAAAAAGGAAGTAAAATATCGAATTTTTTTACTCTCTCCATCTCATTTTAAATCGCTCGTTTTGATTTTGGGGCATATTTAAAAAAGAAAACAAAGAGAGTTGACTTTCTGAAATTGCCAAAACTTTTTAGGAGTGGTGACGATGAATGAGAAGATAAAGTGGAGAAGAGTGACTTATTTTAGGGATAGTTTAGCTATTTTACTTTTAAAACTTTACGATAACAAGAAACATGTAACTTATTTTGGGACGGAGAAAAAAAGAAAAACAGATAATTTAAAAAGATACAGAGGGAGTAATTCATTTTCTTTAAATATTAGTATAGAAATAAAAAATAAAATTTACATAATTAAAAAATTACATAAAAAATCTTTCGAAATAAAAAAAGTATCATGAATATTTTATTTTATCAATGATCAATGAAAATATATAAATAAACAAAACGTCTCATGATTGTTGAAAAAAGAAATGTGACAATTATTTTAGGACGAAAGCAATTTTACCCTAACTATTTGATTAAAGCATTGAAATGGAACCAGAGATAAAAGTCTAAATGGATAAAAATGAAATCGCGACCAGTATCTAGTCTACAACCATAGGAATAAACTTTCCCGGGATTATGCGTTGATTTACAACGGGCGACTGGGGTAAGGGAAACAAATTCACCTAAATGGTTTTGGGGTAAATCCAGTAAATCAGTAATTTCTAGGTGCTGGTCCTTTTCAAGGTATCATTATCTTGTCCCAAAACAACGTTGATTTTTTAGTTGAAAAATGTTAGGGGTATACCAAAGATGTACTTCATATGTCCCCTATCTCCTCCTTGTCCACATAAATTCGCAAGAAATTCAAAAAATAAATAAATAAACAAAAATCAAATAAAAATGAGTGGTGGAGAAGGGAGTGATGTACATTTGGAGTACACATTTGGTGTACCCCTAGCATTGCTCTTTTTAGTTTATAATAGTACTAGTGTTTTAACTCATGTATTGCACGGAATCAAAGAATTATTTTTAACGATACTGTAAGTTATCTTCAAGGAAATATTTAAATAAATTTATGAAAACAAATGCAATGCATTCTTTGACACATAAGACATTAAATCAAAGTAAAACAAATACTTTAGCATTTAATATTTGGTAATGAAAACTCGTATATAACTTTTCTTTTTCATAATTCAACTCCTCTACCATGTATTAAGTGAGTTGTCATCTAGGAATGCCATACCCCTGAGCTCTTTTAAGAATCATCTATTTGAATTAAGTAGTATTTCAATCTCAATTAAACACTTTAATTATTCATGATTTCTATGAAACTTACGAACGATGTTTTATGATTTTTTTTAGATGTATGTTGCATCGTCAAAATAAAATCATAATCGTAACAATAGGCACCTTTTCATGCCATTTTTTTGTTGAAATATTCCTTTTATCCTTTATCTTTCATCTCTAACTGATCTCGGCCATCTCTCGTCAAGTTGATGTTCCATATAATTCTAATTTTTATGAAAATGTTGGATGCTCTTACTAATAATACGTTAAAAAAAATAGAAAGATAAAGTTTAATTACCGATTGGGTGGTGATAATCATACCTCCTAAAACACTAAATACAACGTCCAACTAAGTTCACCCCAGATGCATTATTATGTTATTATTTTAAAAAGTTATATAAACATTATCAAGTTATCTTGTGCCAATCTACTAAAACAATGTAAAGCCGATAATTTTGTTGCCCAATAGTGGTCGAATTAAATTTCTATGATTACTGGATTGAAGATGCAAGCCAAAGTATGGGTCATTGCCAATATAGTCGAATGGAAATTTAAAATAAAAAAAAACATTTAATTAATCTGCAATTACGCTGGTAAATTTGATGCAAATCAACAATTTCTGCAATTATTTTTCGAAGCATCTACATTCATAAAACTGTATACCACTTTCAAAAGTGGGATAAGTTTGTTCAATTCAACAATTTAAGTTTTAAATACAATAGAGAAAAAAAATATGCAAAGGACACTCGATTATGCATTGGTACAACTTCAATAAATTGCAGAATTTAAGCAAGTTTGTGAGCTGTGGTTGGCTTCATTTCCAGCTTCTCCTTTATGGCCTCAAAGAAAGCAGGTATGGCAATCTCATCAGGGACTTCCTTGAATGATGGCAGGTAATTTACATCCACAATCACATGGTCGCCCGTGCCTTCCTGGATCTGATATTCGATCGAAACAAACTTTTAAATCTTGAGAAGAAATCATCAACAAATCATAAAGGTGGAATGCCCACCCCGGGCGCCCCCACCCCAGCCCGACATAGTGAGAGGTAAATCACAGTATAATCTTAGTCTGGTTCTAAGAAAGGTCATCTCGTGTCAAGTGCACACAAGAATTTGATGTAAGAGCTAATGCGGTATCCACTGGGGTTCTTTTGGCACTCAATTCCAGTGTTATAATATGACATTTGGTCCATTTGAGGATCCTACAATGCTTCTTTCTACTTCAAAGTGGTTCCCATCCACCTAACGCCCCCTCCACTAGCCCCCAGCATTGTAGCATATAAGCGAATTTCGTGGGGAAGGGGATCAGGAGGGGACGGGCTGGGGGCTAATGGGGGAGAGGGATAAGAACCACTCCTAGTTGAACAGAGCACCCTCAAATGGACCGGTGTCATATTATGGGATTGGCCCTTGGTGTCAAAAGAACTCATGCAGTATATCTTTGAAATAGTATGACACACCCCACAAAATCAAAATTGAACTATAAAAAGAATAACGGTACTCACCACAACGTCAAAGCCAATGATTGTGAGGTCTAAAGTTTTCTTGAGCCAATTTGCAGCCTCAGTCACAAGTTGAAGATCAATGCCCTTACTACTAGAATTATTGGATTCCATATCTCCAGATTGTGGTTTCTCTTTATCGACAGGCAGTGATTTCAAACTGCACTAGCAGATACCACCAAACGTAAGCCCATTAATGTTTAATTTGAGGGGGTCTAAACATTGAATAATTAAATAAAAGCGAAAGCAAGGATAAGGGAAATGATGGTTGCTATAACATGCCTGTCGAAAAGCAATGGCTTTAACCCATTCCCCTCGGATAATCTCATCAAGGTGTCTGCATTAGGTATAGACTTCTTAATTGCATAGAAAACTTTCTTCCCCAATACATAGAATTTATACAAAGTGGATGAATGGTCCACATATTCCTGCAATGCCATTTACTTATTCGTATAGATGATCAATGCCATGAAATTAGCTAAATCCAATTGTTTAACTGTGCGAAAATGTGAGAAACTAAATAAAACCTAAATATTTTTCCTCGATCATCAAGTGCATTATCAGTGTACAAGTTCCTCTGAAGGTTATTACCACTATTACTAACATATTAAGGGTCTGTTCTTTTGGTTTGGAAAAGTTAACTTCCAACTTTTTCGAACTTCTTCCAGTTTCTTCCAACAACGACTTTAAAAAATTATTTACATATGATGAATATATAATACTGAGTAACTAAAAACATCATATATACCACCTCAAATACGGGAAAAGATGAATTCTTTTTTATCCTATTTCTTTGAGTGATCGTTTAATTGAATAATGTTTTTAACACTTTATTTTTTCCAACGTCTTCCTTTTTTGCAACTCTTTCCAGTTTATTCCAACATCCAACATTAGAATTCTAACAAAAAACAGACCTTTAGTACTCCCTTCATCCCTAAAATTTTTTTAAACAATTTATGATGTTTGAGTGAATTTATTTTTGAATCACTTTATTTTATAAATGGTATACAATTAAATAAGAAATTTACATATTTAAAAACTACATCAAAGGTTCTACAAAACAAGAGATGACATCACTGTATTATATTATCAAATGAGTAACGGAAATAGGTAAATAAAAATGACAAAATTTGATCCTATAAATAGTAGCTCCAAATTTTTTAGAGGGAAGGAGTGTTTGTCATGCCAAATGTCTCAAAAGAGCACAACACAATTAAACATTGGATCCATAATAGTTGCAAATCACATGTAGACAAAATTGATGAGAATAAGAGATCATAAACAGCATTAATCACTGTATGAAAAAAATGGGAACAATATGATTCAAGAGCCACTAGTGTTCCAATCTCACACACCTGTACAACCGCTGGAAGTGGAACATTGAGATCTTTGAAGTCATCCACTTTAAAGACAATGGCCTGCAAGATTACAAAATGGAAGTAAAGAACCAATGAAAATTGAATACTGCTTAAAAAATCAATTTGGCTTTTCTTCGGGCTGACTGCGATCTTGGGTTACACCAGGCTCAGCCTTTAGTCCCTTCCTATCTGCCTTGGTGATGGATGTTCTGTAGCAGGATGTCCAAGGTGAGGTTCGGCGAGATTTTGCTGACGATATTGTATTAATCGACGAGACACGTGAGGGGATCAATGACAAGTTGGAGGTACGACGTCATTCCATGAAATCCAAAGACTAAATACTTGGAATGTGGCTTCAGTGGTTGGGTGATGGTTTTAGAAGAGTTAGGAACTTAGGATTGATTCACACCCGGTGCCTAAGAGATGCAAAAGACAAGTTTAGGTATCTTGGTTCGGCCATTTAGGTAGGTAGATGGGGAGATAGACAGTGATGTTGTCCATCTTATTGGAGCTGCTTGGATAAAGTGGAAGCTGGCTTCAGGGGTCTTGGACGATAAGAAGATTTCAACAAGGATGAAAGGAAAGTTCTATCGAGTCGTAGTCAGACTGGCTTGCTTTATAGGGCAGAGTGCTAGGCTAGGCAGTTAAGGCATGTTAGAAATTTGTTTAAAGGATGAACGCTGCAAAGTAGCGTTGACAGAATGATGAATGAAGAAACATACTCCCTCCGTCCCTCATAGATCTTCCCATTAACCCTTTTTGTTTGTCCGCCATAGATCTTCTCATTACATATTTTAACACACAAAATACCCTAAATACCCCTCTTCTATTTCTTTCTTTTTTCCCATTTTTGTCCGCCACTTGCTTACTTCAATCTTTTTTCTTTCTTCATTTCTTTCTCCCCCCACCATTTTTTCCACTGGTCTGTCCATATTTCTTCTTCTCTCTTCCCTTTGTTTTTCTTCTTTTCTTCTTTTCTTCTTTTCTTTGTTTTTCTTCTCTTTCTCGTTTCTTCTCTTTCTTCTTCTCCTCCTCCGTATTCTTCTTCTTCGCCGTCTAGATCTGCGATGGTGGGGGTAAGGGCAGTGGCGGCGATGGCGGGGCTGAGGACGGTGGTGACGTTGGGGGAATGAAGATGGCGGCGACGGTGGTGGGGATGAAGGCGGCGGCGGCAATGGTGAGTCTAGATCTATATTTCTTCTCTTCTTGTTTTCTTCTTCTTCTCTCTCCCCTTTTCTTCCATTTATTTTCTAGATCTAGACCACAATCACAACAATGGTGAGACCGCAGGCGGTGGTGGGTTGACGATGATTGTGAGGACTAGGGTGAAGATGGGGCTGGCGGTGAAAGTGGGGTGGCAATGGTGGTAGCAGCGGCGGTGGTGGGGGAGGTTTTTATGTGCGGTGGTTGTTGGCCATGTGTGCAGCAATTGTCCCGTGGCGGAGGCTATGTGGGCCAAGTCACAGTCGAATGTCGTGGGCGCTTGTGTGTTGAATGCACTATAAGGCTAGGGTATGCGCCTCTTTTAACACCAATTGGTTTTAGAAGAGTTGGTAGCGCCTGAGGTCCTACAAGTGGTATCAGAGACAAGGTCACGAGTTCGATTCCCAGCGGGAGCAATTGCTGAGGGGGAGATTGTTGGCCATGTGTGCAGCAATTGTCCCGTGGCGGAGGCTATGTGGGCCAAGTCACAGTCGAATGTCGTGGGCGCTTGTGTGTTGAATGCACTATAAGGCTAGGGTATGTGCCTCTTCTAACACCAATTGGTTTTAGAAGAGTTGGTAGCGCCTGAGGTCCTACAGTGGTAACAAAGCAGCAATAGGAACGGGTGAACTGGTCAGAGGCAGAGTAAGGAGGGGCAAAATGGGAAAGTCAAGAGTCTTTTTAACACTCCTAAAAAACCGTGAAAAGTCAAATTGAGAACATCTTACATGGACGGAGGGAGTATGAATTACGACTTGATAGTTTAACGAATCGCGTAAACACTATTAAATCAAAGTTATTTCGGGGTATACCAAAATACTTTAATCGGATAAGACGTTAATCAAGAACAAGTACTTCAAATTCGTACCACAACCATACCAACAGGGCTTTATTTATAGTCAAAAATTGGAGATCATACATGAACATTCGTGTAAAGATGTGAACGTTCGCGCGTAGAGATGGACACGGAAGTCCTATGAATGCTTCCTTAAGAGGCAAACATTCGAGCGAAGAGTTTTTTGCGGTTTAGGGCCAATTTTGACGTTTTTCCGTATGTCCGAATCTTTAAGGTTTTGGACTCCGTTCACAAAATTCTGAAAGGTTTTCATAAAGAAATAATATCCAAAATAAAAAACTTCAACCTGTCTCGCGACCCCGGAATCGAACCCTAATTCTCCGTCACCCGTCACCACCATGGTAGGCCACTATCTGCCCCTTAGACCTTGCTATGAATTTGTAATATCGTTGAACGAGTGCGCACTCTGCACCTCCTACCTCATTTGACAACGTCTATTCAAATTCTTGTCTAAACTAAGTAAAACCAATCACACAAAATAGCCGATGACACTAAAATCACCAACAAGACACCCCATGTTTGTTAACTGCATGTGATAGAGATGTGAATGGTACGGTAGATATGTGGAATACAAGGTTGGATAGGATTTGGAATGAGGTTATCCGAGGACGGGTAGAAATGACACCGGTAGAAGATAAATTGCAGAATGCTAGGTTGAGGTGGTTTAAACACATGAAACGACGTAATGTTGCAGTGCAGGGGTGCTAGAGGCTTGTGTTAGCGGTCAGGGTAGGGGAAGTGGTTGTCCTAAGAAGAATTGGAGGGAGGTGATTGGACAAGACCTAAGACTTTTGGCTCTAGGGATCTGGAACTAGGATAGCTTGGTAGTCGGTTGGGCTTGTTTTTGCTCTTGCTGTTGTGTGCTTCCTATGCTTGGTGTCTGCTTGCTAGTGGCGTTTTGTGTGTTGATTGTCTCTTTGCGCTTTTCTTTACCATTCGTTTCTTCTTTGCTTCCTTGCCGTGCTCTATGCTTTTTGTTTGTTTAAGCTGAGTATCTCTAAGAAACAGCCTCTCTACTTTCGAGTAGCGGTAAGGTCTGTGTCCACACACATTCCCATACCTTACTTTTGTGAGATTCTACTGGGTTGTTGGCTAAAGTTTCGTCATAGACACAGAGAGGATGAAAGTAGTATTCTATAGAGCCAAAAAGAAGGGAAGCAGCTATATTACCATACTATGGGCATCTGCCACACCACAAGCAACCTGAGGTTTCACTATAGTTGGAACACTTAGCTTAGCCTCTGCTAATCTCTTTTCTAATTGGGGCTCACCAAAGCTATTAAGCTGTACAGAGAGAGTGAGAATTGCAATCAAATTCACAATATTTTACCCTCTTAAAATGACATAAAATTGGTCAATTAAAAAGTAGAATTTTGTTCTTTAAATAACATTAAATGTCAGCTAAGTTGAATCAAATTCCTGGAATGAAAAGTGAATAGGAAATTAAAACCTCATTTTTCAGGGTAAGCACTGGGGGGATAGATGATAATGCTGCTCTATTGTAAGATTGAAAATTTTAATAAACTGAGATGCAAATATCTGTAAGTAAGAGTTACTCCATAGATCTCCGGATAAGATTTATACAACCTTAGATCTTAAAATTTTGTTCAATACTGAACAATATCCCAAAGAAACACAAAGATTGTTTTCAATTTTCAGAATTATCAGATCCATCACCCTCATTATTTATTGAAATAAGAAAATTTATATAATCCAATGGTAAGAATAGACACAGGTGGCTTATGAAAGAAAAAAAGAAATTTTGTGACTGAGAGTGAAAAGAAAAGCTAGTCACTGAAGTCATATATATCCCGTGAGTCTGTGACACTGTGACAATATCATATATTTGATGTTTGCATATTTTATGGGTACCATTGGTGAAAATAACCTTGAGAAAATGGGGACCCCTTATTCTAGGATGACCTTCTGAATTCAGGTTCTCCAAGCCAAGAAGATGTTGCTGGATTCTCAACCGATCCAAAATAGAGTAGATGTTATTAAATGGATCAATCACGTGGCAGTTAAGATGACATTCAGTATACCTGCATTGAAATATTTGAAATGAGAAACCTTAATGACACATTGACACTAAAAGCAAACCATTTGACTGGATAAGTTAATGAAGATAAAAATTGAAGAGAAGCGTAGTTTGTATCTAGATTTTGTTCAGAAATGGAAAATACTGGAGGCGAAAGTGACTGCCATATATATACTATGTGACACCGAATGGCTTGAGAAAGGTAGAAAATATAAGCTTCTGGCTACAAAATGACAAAACAAAGATCACAGGCTGCATATTCCCAAACTTCTCACTAAGGTTGTTAAGGCGCCAAGGCGAGGTGAGGCGCCGACGTACCTTCTCGCTGCTGGTGACAAAAAAAACTCAGAACACAAAGTTACCTTTGCAATGATTGCACGCCCTCTGTGAACACTATTCTATTTGCAAAATCTGAAGAACTCATTTCTGCGGATAAAATCTCATCAGTTGCTTTATGAAGAACTCCATCAACGTTTTCTATCTGTGATGATATGGAGAGCTCATAATTAAGGGACACAAACATCAAACCATTCTGCGTAGGATTCAATGGGAATGCACCCCTCTGCAAAAGAAGAAACGAAATACAAGCAGTTATTTCTAATTCAAGACCAGAATGTAACATATTCTATAGTTTGGACACAAGGTAATATAGATTCGCAATCATTGGTCTGAAAGCTTTCCTACAATGAAACAAGTAAAATAAAGGAATGAATTATCCAATAATTTGGTTGCAAAGACCTAATAAATGAAGTTTATATAGGTATTCAACAAAGATGTGAAACTGGCGCAAAACAAAGACTTAAATGACATGAGAACAATGTATAAATTACATGTGTGCTGAGCGCCCTTAACACTTTTTCTAAATTAAAAAAAAACTAACCTTGGCAAAATCTTCTTCACGGGAAGCCTTCATTAAATAGCCAACTATCGAAACTTCCTTTCCTATTGCCTGCACGGTCAGAGACATAGAGGCTAGGCGGTTTTAGTATGGTAGAAGCTTTGAGCTATCTACCTTTAGCAACACAATTTAGAAGTAATGCACTCGTAATATAGAAGTAATTTCAGTGAGGATTCAATGTCTGGTAAAGTGACAATTGCATAAATGTCTAAAGTAGCAGCTTACTCCCTAACCAGCACTACGCTCAACTTTCATTGACACATAAAAGTAGAAAATTTGACAGGCAAACATAGCATATGAGTTCTAGTAAGGGTTTCTCTTAAAATTAAAAAACAACAAATATATTTGAAGTCATAACTCATTAGCCTACCTGCACAGAGTAACTGAGAACAAGTAGGCAATCACTGTGCAAATAACATTAAAAACCAGTTTTGATGTGTAAAAAGCTTGTCAAGTAAAAGGTAACTCAATTTCATAAGATGGAAACATTTGAACCAAATATGTGGTAAAACTGTTAGGAAGAAGTTTGTCTGTATATCAGGCTTATTAGCACGTCATAAATCAAAATCTGAAGAACGATTTTTCTAGGGAAACACAGTGTTTGTTTCTTATTTCAGTTCATTGCAACTAAATACTACCAAAATACTCCAAATACCTGTTTATTGATAAGGCAAATGGTAAGGGGCACCTCTTCAAGTTTGTTAATGAAAATTGTGTTTGGAATTTCACTTCTAATTGCATATTTCACATCTGATACAAAGTCAGAAACATAATTTAGAAGAGAATGAATCTTTTAGTTCTTGAGAAAGTAAGTCCACAATATTCTCAAGCCCCGTGCTGTTGCAAACAACACATACCAAAACCACATGACGTAAAAATATCTACTCCGTCTGCCCAAAAAAAACTCACTTTCCTTTTGCATCCATTCCAAAATCAACTTTCTACTTTTTCCATTTCATTTTAAGGAAAATGTCGCTCACAATATTTTCTCAAGTAAATAAAGTTTAACCATATTTTTTACTTTTCTTAAACTTCATGCAGTCAAAGTAGGAAATCTTTTTTGGGACAGGAGTATAATATTGGTTAATATTTATCATATGACAAAATTATAAATGCGCACCTTTATCTGATACTTGTCCAGTAGACCCTGCAATGAAAAATATCACTTTAAATATTATGTCATTATCCTAAAAAAGAACAGTGCATAAATAAGGCTACACAAATTCTAGGCATTATAACAAGATTCTCCACCAATTGTTAGATTTATTCCTTTTGAAGTTTAACGAAACTAAAGTATATGAGAGCCCGAGAGTGAACATACAAGCATGTACTTTTTATCTCCTTCTGCCTTAATTTTGAAGGTAAGATGTAAAACTTACGTAGAATGACAGTAATCCATTTAGTTTTACTGAGTCCGAGAAAAGGCTCTTTTTTATATTCATGAACAATGTACACAAAGCTTCCTTCATTGCCACCCCATGCCAAATCATGAATAGGTGAAGACCTCAAGGTGAAACAATCAAAAGAATACTGTTTTGCTTTGTCTTGAAGAAGCTTCACCTGAAGCAATCAAATATAAGATCTAGGAATTACATCAGGTAGATATATCATTGCTCCTTACACCCATATCCAGATTTCCATTGGGCATTCAAATGAATTCTTGAATCATGAGAAAGGATTATATTGTGGTTCAACATAAGAAGTGCCAGATCCACTAACAAGTGGAAAGATTCCCACAGAGGTTGAAGAGAAGATAAACAGAAACCCTTTTAACTTCACATTCTTTTTAAGGAAATAGAAAATCAAACAAAAGATAGCATTCTGTCAGGTTTGAATCTCTCATACTTAACTTTCTTGTATTGCAAAGATAAGGAGTAAACTTTACTGACTTAATTCAACTTATAACTTTTCTATTACGTTGGGGGGAAGTGATAATGTTCCAAAGTTCAATACCCACAAGGCCACAACAATATTTGCTAGTCAATTCTCCTACTACAATTCAAACAATTATTGCAATTATGATCAATGATTTTGACATGCATTTCCTTAGATAAAATGACACCCCCAAATAACTGAAATCACAGAACAGACTATACGGTCTACAGAAGACATGGACTATATTATCACCTCAACTGTGGAAAGACCTTCTTCATAAGATATTCCCTGAACAAATTGGAAAAAGAGGAAGAAGCAAAGATCACATGTTTATCCTATGAGCTATTAAATGATCGAGCAAGAGTAAGACAATTTGCAGAAATCTGAAATTGACAAAGGTGGATATAAGTGTACAGTGGGAATTTTGGAGTACTGAAGCCTGCGGAGCAGATACTCAGCTCCGTGAAGAAGCGAAGCCGGGTATCCGTTTCCGTCGCCGTCTACGGCGGCGGCTAACAGTGCCGATGCATCTAACACAACTCCCTTTACAACTCCCATTCTTCTCTTCTGCTATTCTGCTCTCTGTTCTCAGCAAGAGCAAGCACGTAGAGATGATGATATATTATGACGATTCCCTCAGAATCGATGCTCATTGAGTGCGCCCGTCACTGCCGTCAGATTCTCTGAGAAATTTTGGGATAGTTGCTTTGAAAATGCCACAGGGTTCTTGAATTTCTAACGAATAAAGCTAGAGCAAGCCACATTTGGCCCTTATTATCAAATATTATTATCAAATATTATTCACGTGTTTCCTCTTTTATATATGTTTTTCACAAATAGTCTCAACATTTTGTCATGTTAGTGTTAATTTGATGATCAAAAATGTAATTTGACATCAACTTTATGTCTAGTGACGTATTCTGATGTAGGTTAGACAAAGAACACAATAATAATGACTATGATTGTGGACTAGTATTCCGACAAAAACTACATCTGTATATTATGGTTATAGTAAAAAATGACAGCAATTCACAAACGATACATCAAAAGCGATCATTATTATTGTGTATGACAATAATGATTGGGAAAATCCCTTGTTATAAATGACCAATTATGGAATTTACTTTTTCTTTATCCTATTTTGCCCATGATCATCAGTAAACACATAGAGAGCTAGGGATTATTCTCTTTAATTGATTTTAATGGTTCTTGTTTGATTAGAATGAATTTTGATCTAATCTGTTCTAATGTAAGTGTAGTTAAAGTTGTTTTTTATCTCGGCCGATTATAATAACAATAAGTTGAAGACAACATGCTCTTAGGGTACACAGTATGGCTTTGGTAAAATCAATTTGCTACCAAATTACTCCCTCTATCCTAAAATGATTTCCCGAGTCACTATTCGAATAATCAATCTTTGATCACTTTCTTTACCAATTTTTGTTAGTTATTTGATAAAATAATGTAGTCATGTCACTTCTTATTTTGTAGAACTTTTGATGTAGTTTTGAAATATATAATTCTTTTTAATTTTATAGCTATCAAATAAATTGAATTGAAAATAACTTCAGTCAAACATCATAACCCGAACTGAGAGGATCATTTTAGGACGCAGGGAGTATATCTATGTGGCATTTAACCCCATCTCTTTTGGTACTAAAAAATTTTGAGATGCAAGTCTATATGCTTACCGTCCATACCATAACTCACTTTAAACTATTTATTTATACATCTTTAATATTTAAAATATTTAAACATTTTTTATTATTGTTAAAAAATTTAAAACATATTTTAAATCAGTAATATTTACAACCTACTCCATTTATATTTTTTTCACACACATCTTAAAGCTACATTCTCCAAAATAGCTAAGTTTTGTTCTCTTCAAAAGGATTTTTTAAAGCTCCCATAAAGTTTTCTGAAAAAATAAATGGGTTTAAATTAAATGGATTGAAGTTAATTTATATTATTAGTTTAAGTTTATTGTTTAAAAATTTATTTTGGTAAGATGGTGAATTGGCATATGTATTCCGTCACTTGTAATATGAAAAGCAAAAATTAATAGAATTTGATGTAGAGAAGAGGGATGTTGTTGTAAAAAAAAGTATTGAATGTATGTCTACCCTCCACCCCTATCATTTTGTGCTTATTTGTACAAATTATGAGTAGGGATGGCAATGTGCTTGGTTCGGTCGGGTGTGGGTATTTATTTCTTTGGTTTGGAATCGATTTAAGATTTGGTCAAGTCAATAACGGTCAAATTTGGATTTGAATACTAATAAATGTATTCATGATTAAATTACGATTGAAATACATTTAAAAAATTCAAATTTTAAAGATGACATAAAAAATAAGATATTTGCAAAAAGTAATTATTATTGAATAGGATGTCTCCTAGATTTCTCTAAAAAATTAACGTATAAATTCTTAACTAATAATATACGAAGTACAACGAAAATAAAATATGGATGCCACAAGATTCCTCCACAATTCTTCTATTCTTTAAGGCAGGGGAAAAATGCACCATTCTTTTCCCGACCAAATGCCTTAGATTAGGAGCCGTTGATTTTTAGAAATATTATGGGATCTACGGTTCATATGCACTCCATCGGATGAAAATCAAAAAGAGAAGAATGAAAGCTTTAAAATAGGAGAAACATGTGTATTCTATAAAAAAAATAAAGCTTTAAAGGAGGAAATAAGTTAAAGATGTAAAACCTGCGATTTTTTTATATACAGAGATTAAAAAGAGGAAAGAATTAAGAAAGGAGGTTTTTTTAACAGATGAAAATTAATGTAAGCAAATAACACGTGAATTGATTTGATGGTAACATTCGATATATTTTAAATTAATGTGTCTAGGTAGAAGGTTTATTTGCTCAAGTTGCATTAGTGGAATCATCTCTAGATAATCTTGCATTTAGAAAAAACTGAAATTAAAAGTATGTTTAGATTATATGTGCAACATATAAGTTCTGTAGAATGTTATATTTATATATAAAAGACTGGCATTATTATATATTATTTTTCGTGTAGAGATCATCGATTGTGGAGGTCACACATTTATGTGTGAGTTCTGGAGAGCTTTGTTATGGTTTAAAGAAAGAGCCGAAAAAAAATAAAGTTTAAGAACATCCAAAGTTTTAAATTTATTGCATGAAAGGGAAAATTTAATTCGCTCTTCTAAGGAAACTCTCAGATCTACTCTCTAATTTATTTAATGAAATTTATGTGAGTTCTCATTTCCATAATTTTAAGAAAATACAACAATGTATTTCTGTTCAGGTATATGGATAGAAATATTCATACATCTCACAACAACGGTTGAGCAGCTCTCCAATATACTCTTAGCGGGCACAATTAGAGCTGGCAAATCTATCGATCAGGTCAAGTTCAGGTTTCATTACTTCAGATTTGGGTTATTTCATATTTGGGTAAGTTCGGGTTTGGGTTGAGAACTATATGTTCATGACCCAGTGTCATCAAGTTCGAGTCAACCCAAGGGATTATGATTTTTTTTTTTGAAATTTTAAGTAATTTTTATAACTCAATGTCAATATTACGAATGAAAAAAAGTCAATATGCAGAATTGTTGAAATAAAAGTAAGGTAAATATGCAATATCATTAAAAGTTTATATGAAAAATATAAATTTATAACATTATATTTCATATCCAAGTATATGATTTTGAAAAATTCTTACACTAGCGAGTCGGTCAGGTTGGATTCGGCTTTGATTAGGTTTGGCCCATTTTTAGCGGGTCATTCCTGGTTTGAACAATTTCGGATTCGGCCAACAAAACTTTTGTTCAAAACTCAGTATTTTGGATCGGGTCTCGAATATAAAACAATTTCATCATTTTTTTCAAGGTCTAGGCACAATCATCATCATCACATACCATCTCTATTGCCACAGTATGGTGTAAGAGTAGGATTTGCTCAATTGTATATTAATGATAGAGAGAACGAGATATCAAACAGAATGGCTCATATCAAGTACCTCAAACACACTATTAAGTGTACCCTTTTAATACATGAAATATCATTAGCATACTAACAAAAAAATTGTTCTCTTTATTTCATAGAGTAGGAAGAACATTATTGGTGTAATTGTTTTGTTTCAAAAAATTAGTCTCTAATTGTTATCTTTATTAGATACTGATAGATGTTTAGTCTAGTATTTGAAAAATATGATAGATATGCATAAGGTTTTAGCACAAATTTTCAAAAGAGCTAAAAAAATTCATGGATAATGAGCCCACATCTAATGTGTCCTTGAAGCTGTTGAGAAGTTGAATTAGAGACTCAATAATTTATAATATCTTTACATTACACAAAGTTGATGCTCTAATAGTAGGAGATTTTGATTTATCTACTGAAGATAGGGATATTATCGTGGCAAAAAGAGATGGATTCTTACAAAAAATTTATGAGACACACACTACTTTCATACCTCTGCAATACCATTTATTGTTCCCTTTCAGAGAGGATGGATATCAAAAAAAATATTTGTATAAGAGAATCATTTTTTGTGCAGAAAACATGTAAAGCGTTGGAGAATATCAGTAAGAGAATTTGTTGCATTTCAAATGCAAGGAAGAGAAAATGATGGTGGTATTGTATTAATTGCACAAAGGTTATAGTTACATTTTTTTATTGATGCATACACGATGGTTGAAGCACAAAGAAGCAATGCGTACGGTTGAACCATGATCAAGTTAGGGGAGCAATTATGAGTGGCTTACATGTTGTGATCAAAGGTAATATTGAATCAACAACCATTGACCAACAAATTATCCTACCATCTACATTCATATGGGGAATGTGACCATTTGTAGAAAATTAAGATATCTAGATTTATTCATTACTATAAATGCAATCCCAAATGGCCAGAGATTGAAAGATGTATGACACTAAGTTAGGATCTGGGTTATTAGTTGATGATATAGAATGTATTGAAGGTATAAAAGAGGTACCAAAGTAGGATCTGGGAATCAACTAAGAAAGTTGTTGGACACATTATTAGTGACAAATGCAATGAGTTGGCTACAAATTGTTTGGGAAAAATCATGTGAACTTATGATGGATAGAATCTTATCTGATTGAAAGAGAATATTCTATAATCAAGATATTTCAATAGAAAGGTATTTTTAAGGTATCAATCAATATGTAATGCATTATATGAAAACAAAATTCTTTAATTGAGTATTGCGTAGAAATAAAATTTTTCTAATTCTTTTTTGTAGAACTTATAATCTTACAAGAAGATCTAAACAATTTATGTTTAATTGAGATTGAAAAGTTGCTTAAATCAAATAAGTGGTATTTAAATGAATTAAGTGGCATGCAGTTTCTAAATGACATTCGACTTATTAGATTTCAAAATAATTTCTTTATAGAGGAGTTGAACTATGACAAAGAAAAGTTGTCATTGGAACTTAGAGATATTTATCTACAATGAATGAAGATAAAAGATATACAATGAAATAATGGACATCGTGACACCTAAAAGAGGAGGTTCTTTTTTATGTAAAGTTATGGTGGAACTAGAAAAATATTTCTCTAGAAATCATTGTAAGCTTCTCTAGGGTCAAATGGTAAGATTGTCTAGAATGTTGTATCCAGTAGCATTGTAGCATTGCTTTTGCCTGGGGAAGGAAAATACACTCGAGATTCTAATCCCTCCAGCACAAACCGAGTG